ATTCCGTTTTATGTAAAGTAATTTGAATAACTTTTGTATAGATAGATATATAAGTTCGAATGTCAGATTCGGTCGTAAGAATATACGTAGATGACTCTGCTATACATATTTCTTATCTTTGTAACCAATATCTAATAAACTGATGTGACGGTTTTAATGAAGTTCAATGGGTACATTAAAAATGTAGCGAGGCTTGTATAGATGCACAATAGAATCAGGATAGGGGACTGCAACTTTCACACAAAAAGTTTCCTCTCTTCAATACTATCTGTACATATGTATCGTTTATCTTTGTAGATTATTAGATTCTCTATATTATTGAGTAATTAAAAATATTTTTAGATTTTAGGTTAATGTCATTTTATGTAAATAATTGTCTCCTACAGCAACATTCCAAAATTTCACGAAAAATGTCAAACGTTTTTCGTGTGTTAGTGTTACTAAGAATTAAATCTTTCTTCGTAAATAGATGTTTAGCTATTATTACGTATTGTATAGATAGATAGAAATTGATAGAAATTCCCAGCAACCTAAAAAAATTCGGTTTTTTATTCAAATTCTCAACTTAGATATGTTCGTCGTCATTAGATCTTTTTCTTAAGTAATTTTGGATATTTAAATAACATATTTGACACGCTATCAATTTTTTTTACAATACCTATAAAAAAGAAAAATGAAAAAATATGTTTTAATTATTTTTTTAATTTAATCATAAGACTTAAATTTATCTTTATTGAATATTTTTACAACAGATTTTTTTATTTTTTTCGTCGTCATTGAATTGTAAAATGCCAGTAGTAAATAATTTTGTTTAATGGAGTCACAAAAGGGCCACCGCAATCGATCCAATTCTTGGTCATATTTTTAGATGCACCGCCGCACCGACTTGCGATCACCTCATAATTTTTTCATCATTTAGTCAGCGTACATCGGAATTGTGGCATCGACTTCTAAATAGAACGATAGCTAAAAATAAACTACTAAAGTTAACCTGCGTTACATTTAATAACCCTGCCTTTGGAACAGACAAGACAAAAAATATAGTTTATTAAAAAATGAACAAAAAAAATTGCATTTATATTTTTTATCTTACGTTTTTTTTTAAAGTAAATACTAGTCTTATTTTTCTAGTCATTTAAAGTAGCATCTAAATACATGTCTAATTTAAATAAAAAAATTATTTATGTACTTTTTTAGTCATTACTCAGTCATTGTGAAGAATTATTTTTTAAAAATATTTTTTTTATTAAATCTAGTCAATATTTAGGAAATATATGAACCTAGTCATTTTAATCGCTTTTTTTACACTATTCAAAAAAAAATCTAGTCATTTTTTTATTTGTCACTAGTCAGAAAATATTTATTGCTAGTCATTTCATAGTCATTATTTCAGTTCGCTCGTTTGAAAATATATCTAGTCATTTAATAGTCGTATTTTTTATTTGTCTTAGTCAGAAAATATTTATTGCTAGTCATTTGATAGTCTTTTGTTTTAGTTTGTCGCTCGGTTGAAATTGTTTCTAGTCATTTTTTAATTGGTCTTGTTTTAAAAACAATGACATCTAGTCATTTTATAGTCATTTTTATTTAATTTATTAGATTTTTTTACAAAATCTTTTACGGTCATCAAATATTTAAATCTAGTCCTTTTACTATTATTCAAAGATTTTTATCGTTGGTATAGTATTTTTTTTTAATTCTAAATTGATCTCATAGTTTTATACATATTTTTGGAATTGTAATAAATATAAGTAAATCATTATAAACGAAAAAAATGTCTGTTCTTCTGAAGCGGTCGTAAATTTTGTTTTTCGATTAACGATAAGAGATTTCATTAAAGTTAAAATAAATAGTAAAGGAAAAAATCGTATCGATTGCGGTGGCATTTTTTTTTACTTTAAGTTAATATGGCATTTAAAGCCAATAAAATAATTTAGTATTAGAAAACTATTAGAATTAATTTTAAATATAAATTTAAGTATTATTATAGTATGGGTATAGTCTTTCTTAATACAGAAATTCTATAGAGTGGAATCTAGTCAGTGTGCAGTGCAACGCGTTCCAAAGACATGTAAATAAAAACGCTATTTAATATAAATTTCTATTTATAAATTTCATTCTTAAATAATTATATTTAATTCTATTAATTTAAATAATAAAATATGATGTGCAACTTTTAATTTCAAAAATAAAAAAAAATATTTACAAATTAATTTTTATACAATTTAACTTATTATTTTATAACAGAAATATGTAAAAATAAATCTTTATCTATTTATATTTTAATTTGATTAAATCCGTATACCAATTAGAAATATAATTTTGTTTAAATTGAAATAACTTTCAAAAAATAAATTATACTTCATTATTAATTAAATAATGATTAAAAGAAATTTAAAATAAAATTTGACCGATGTATTTTGGATTTGTATAAATTATTATTTAAATTGTAAGGCATGTTACGTAAGTTGTATAAAATATAGGTATATTGTACTAAGAGATGTATTAATTTATTATTTAGTATTAATTAGTAGTAATTATTTACAGTAATTTATCTTAACTTTATAATTAAGAACTAGTTTAGTAGTTAATAGTTATTTGAATAAATGTTCATGTTAGAAACTAACCTAGATAAAAACTTAAATATCAATGGAGAAAAGAAAGAGGTTATATTCAAGGAAAAATGTAAATTTAATAAAACTGAGTATATGCTACTCGTGTAGAATAACATGAGATCACATGCAAGTGACGTCATGCGTCCTTGTACAACAATCAAGATACCAAGAACATCCAACAAAAGGGTCGTTCAAATCAAATGTAAACGGCTGCTGCGCATAACGCAGTTTAGGATTATTTCAGTTTTTATTTTATTTTATTTGGTAGCAAATGTGCAAACGACCACCTGGATTCGCCGAAATAGCGAACCGACCGCTACTCATAGATATACGTAATTGTAGACGCATTGCCAACTTTTTTTGCAAACGATTCCTCGTTTTGTTTAACTACATCTGTAACCAGCGCTACGCCGCCTACGGCGTAGAAGCTACCGGAAATGCAATATGACGTCACGTAAACATTTTGACTGGCAAACACCCTATTCTAAGATGATAGTTGGTATTACGTTTGGTTTGAATATGTCTTACTTTTTTTTAATTACTTGCTTTTTATCCAATACTGTTAATCATAATTAAGACATGCAGGCAACCTTTAACTTCTTATGAATGTGTTATGGAAGCGGTGACTTTGCTATTTTAACGATTTCAGATGGACACTCATTTTCCAACTAATAATATAATATTTAAATCTTTACATCTGAATTGTCAAAATAATCAAGAAGCGTACACCATAAATATCCGCTTCGTTACATTGTCAACTTTATCATTCTCAAAGCAAATAAACACTTTTAATAATTAAAATAGAAATATGTAAAGTATTTGAAATTAAATAGTAATTTTTAGATTGTTATATCAACATAGTAAATAGAATGTGTGTTACTCAGTAATTTATTATTAAATAATTGCACTTTATTGTATTTTAGTTATTAAATGTTCACGAGTTAAAAGATATTTAATAGTGGAATGTATAGTTATTTGTGTAGATATTTATTAGATGTAGACATTATTTATTAATAAATATATTACAAAACATAATAATTAGTATAGTTCATTTCATTTGACAGTGGTAGAGCCCGCTTTAACATCTTCGCACGAATCGGCCCGGCTCGCCCGGTGAAATACCACGACCACACAGAAGACAGGCGTCAAGTGGAAGCAATTCCGCGTTTCGTCTGATGAGTGTGCGTCCCGGAGGCCAAAATTAGTCCTCTTTCCCTTCCCATCCTTTTTCTTATAAGGAAAGGATGGGAAGTGGAAGTGGACTTTACGGATGAGAGGATGCATGGAAAGGGAAAATATTTTCTTTCTGTGCATCCTCTCCTCCGTCGATTAAAGGTAGGCAACGCATATGCAATTGCGTATGTCTATGGGCAACGGTCAGTTCGCTATTTCAGCGATTTCAGGTGGCCGCTCGCTCGTATGCCACCTTGTGATATAAAAAAAAAATTCAAATATCTCAGCATCCTGCTATGCCCCGCTACACCCAAATTGTGTGAGCTACAACTTGCACGATGTTCCGACCCGACGAGACATTAAAACTACAACAGTAGAAGCATAAAAGGCTATTTGACTACAGTAACTAACAACCAAGTAAACTTAAACTTATCCACATTTGTTTGTATAAGCCTGATACGCCATCTATGTTATAATTTAAAAAAAAACATTGCTGCCGAAATTCAGTTTGATCCTCTCAAGTTTGAGTTAAGTTATACACAAACGCTCAAATCTAGGTATAGATGGCGCTGTATAAGTTTTATGGTTGAGAGCATTAACACGGGGTGAACCAAGTTAAACATAAATTGAGTTTTGTTAAAAAGATTCGTTAAGATGAGTCGCCAAAAAAATATGCTGACACAAATTAAGGTAAGTTTATACGTTGTCAAAAAATAACCCCAAGGTGAACGAGATGGTGCATTAATTTGGTTATCATACAAGGACAGCTAAAACAAGCTGTCGCCCGCGACTTCGTCAGCTCGGAATTAAAAAACAAACTTAATTTGGAGCCTATATCTTCCAGATTACGTTCTTAGTCTATTTTAAATTTCATCGAGTTACGCTGAGCCGTTCTGGAGATACCTTTTAACAAACATCCATCCACACAATAATACATTAGGTGATTTTATATCTGATTGTGCTAATATTTTTATTGAAATACCTAAAGAATTAGGACTATTTGAAATCCTAAATATTTGTGTAAAGTAACACGCAAATCTGCGATGAATATGTTAATTAATTTTAACATTATTGCACTTAGGTGGTTGTAAAAAAACAATGGCTAATCATCGATGCCTTCGCAGATCGCCTGACTTGATTATGCAATTTTATTCATTTATAATGTCAGACATGACTCTTTTATTCAGTTTATAATGAACCTGGATGCAGGAAACATATATCATGAAAAACATTTATTTATTTGTCACCTTCGCTATTGTGAGTGTTAATAGTTATGTTACTAAAAATACAAATTCAACAAAATCACCAAAAGTTACGAGTTCACATTATAAAATAAATGAAAAGAAATATGAATCTTTGAAGACTTTTACGGAAGAGGAACGCGGTGTGTACTTAGATGATGTGTTATTCGCATTGAAGAGCCATAACTGGACTTCAGAGGAAATACCATGTTTGAACCAAACATTACAAATGTTACAAAATTTACAAAATTTCACGCTTTGGGCTGTGTGGCGTAAGTAGAAAATAAACAGGATAACATCCTTTTAATACTAAAAGGATTTCTAATTGTTTCCGTATTTGTAGAATGGGATTCAATATCATCAGAACCGCAAGGTCTTCTTTTCGGTAATGGCTTCCATTTGGGCAACTTCGATCAATGCATGGACGCGCCTTGGCATAACAACTATCCAGATTTAAGGACACAGTACTGCCTCGCAGATATTGTTCTAGAAAGATCTGATAGAGCTCCTAGGAAACGAAGCAAAGATCTCGCTAACCCTTATCAATCAGCTTTGGATATTATTGAGGTACGTATAAATGTATGAATTGTATGCGTTCGCTTAACATACATTGTTATTGAATTTGAGAAAGCATTGAGATGACCGCTTACTATTTTGCCTTTTAATTACCTTATAATATAAAAAGGAATTATACATTTTAAAAATATATTACAACAGAAGACATCCATTTAATTTATATCTCCCAGTTTGTTGACATACTAAGGACAGGCAAAGTGAGAAGAACCATATAAGAGCTAATTTCGAAATTGGGTTCGCTTCGGTTTCACTTTGCTTTCGCGGCATTGTGACATTTTAAAGTCGTTACATATACTCACAAGTAATTTTTAAACCAGCACCGATCCTTGTTCATGCGACCATTGAATCACCTGTCCTGGGGCCTATGCGTACCAAGGTCTTGCCAGCGGCAATCGGTACAGAGGCTGTTTGGTATTCTACTGGCACATAGTCACCTTGGCGCGGCAGGTCTGCGCGCCAGGATTTCGGTACCAGATCCTTGTCAGAGCGGTGACAAACCGAGACAGTACGATACTCTCTTCTATTCTTTTATGTAAGTACTGTTTTTATTACTTATGATGAGAAAAAAGTCAATCATAAGACACTAGTTTGATGAAAGTACAAAATAAAATATATTATAAAGTGAAAAGTATCTTTTATATCAAAAGGTGGCAAACGAACGAGCGTCACATGAAATCGCTGTAATAGCGAAGCGACCGTTGCCCATAGACATACGCAATTGCATATGCGTTGCCTACCTTTAATCGACGGAGGAGATGATGCACAGAAAGAAAATATTTTCCCTTTCCATGCATCCTCACATCCGGAAAGTCCACTTCCACCACCGATCCTTATAAGAAAAAGGGAAAGAAATATAATCTCTAGAGAGTATAAAATAACAAATTCCACGTACGAAATGCTGTTTAATAAGATTAGTAGGTAATTATAAATTTATATAATCTTCTTTTTTTTTTAGCACATTTACGATTTTATTTACTGGACTTATATTATTATGTACATACATACGACAAAGGACTAAAGATTCCGACAATAATTCGATGAGTAAGTATGTTTTAGTAATTATTACAATAATATTTAGACGTACTATATATGTCAATTTTTCATTTCAAATTCTCTAAATTCCAATTTTTTATATCTACAATTTTAAAATACTTTTTCTAATCCTACCGACATATACTTCGTTTTTACATTGATATACTTAATTCGTCAAAGTAAACTTATTTCAGAAAATCAAGTTCTAAAGGCATTATGCCTAAGAAACAATTATGCAGATATATTAAAAGTAAATAAGAGTGGATTGGATGTTTTCTATGGTATACGATTTTTAAGTATGTGTTTAATTACTATGGATCATCAGTTCGGTATCGCAAACGGAGGACCCATTAGTAACGGAGCTCAAGTTGACGAGGTATGGAAAATATTTTTACTATAAAAATCTATATTTAAATTATTTTTATTTTTATTATCAAATGTCAAATCTACAACGAATTTTATTTTATAAGAATATACCTTCTATGTGCGGGCAAGTTCATTCATACTGTATGCCAAAAAAATTGTTTTTCCTAACGTAGTATAAAAATACAATTATTTTTTTTTAATATCGGTATGAATAGTAATGAATATGTTTTATGCAAATAAAATCTGCGTACTACTAATTAATTGAACGTCGGCGGCTCAGGGGTTAAAACACTTGTAATCTACAAGTCCTGGTTTCGAATCCTGCCATTTACTAATGTGTTTTTCCATATGTACATTTATCCGACATCTTTACGGTGAAGGAAAACATCGTGATGCTACACATATCTGAGAAGAAATTCAAAGATATGTTTGAAGTACCGAAATGAGTCAGCGTGGTTGACTATGGCCTAGTCAACCATGACATAGGGTAGGGTCCGAGCCCCTAAATAGGGACGTATAGTGAGCTGATGATGATGACTATTAATTAAGTATATCCTAAGTATATTATTAGCAACAGAGCATCAAAGTATAACATATAATTACTTGTTTAAAAAAAATATGAAACTTAAGACAATGACTTGAGAACATCGTAAATACGTGTATCATAACATTTATTTCCTTAATATAGAATGAATCTTTATCGTAATAAAAATGTACGTCAACAACCAGTTCTTTTAATGCCTAAAAAACTATTATGATAAAATTTAATGCCCGCGACTTCATCCGCGTTGCGTTAAATAATAGATTTTTCATTTTATCAATATAAATATACTAGTTATCGCCAGCGAATCCGTCCGCGCGGTATTAAAAAAACTTAATTAGTAGCTTACGTGTTCTTCCAGACGATGTTCTACATCATCGTTATAAAAAAACTGTAATAACATTTAACAAGAATAAAATTTTTAGTATTCACTACATTTGAAATCAGTTTAACAATACTTAACTTCTTTCCTTAGTACAGATTTCTATCTCAAACTTATACAGATACCTGGCTTACATTATGCCTGTACACTACAGTAGCACTCAAAATTAGCACAGCACACCGTGAGCCCATGCAGTTAATGCATGCGCTACTGCCTTGCTGATCAGATTTAGGGTCATCTTTAGCGACCATTATAAGACTCTTAGTTCGCAAGTAAAGAAAAATAAATTTTCCAGGATGCAGTATCCTTCACCGGCCTGTTGGTACTTCACAACGATTTGTTCGTGGATACATTTTTCCTTCTATCAGGTTTTCTATCAGCAAATACATTGTCGACTTTCAAGAAGATGCCTAATTTATTTATTCTCATTCTGAAAAGATACGTTAGGTATGTAAAATATTATTTATTCCATTAATGCTAAACACAGTTCTCATATAATTTTATTTATTTGTACTAATCCATAACCGAAATATTTTCGTCATAAAAAATGTACATTTGGCACTAAAGTTCTTAAATTCAATTTTTAGGGTTCCGTAGCGCGAAAGGAAAAAACGGAACTCTTATCACTTTGTTGTCCGTCGGTCTGTCTGTCAAGACCTTTTGGACTTTCATATGTAGAAGTTGATGTTGCTCTGTTTACTTAAAATAACGTTGGATTGAAATGAAAAAACAGTCGAACATGGATCGAGAGTTCAACTGACAACGATATTTTTTCTCGCGTATACAGATTTCTCTTTAATCAGAGTTACTCGCTTTTGGAGGTCGTCCGTGCGAATCGGACAAATACTTATCCGGGTTCAACTGCATTTTATTTTAATTTATCAATTTGTAAAAAAATATTATCATTTATTTTATTTTGCAGATTGACAGTGGCTTTCGCATATATAATATTCTTCGTTTGCTCTGTGTACCCGTTTACTGGGTCAGGACCTCTGTGGAGCAGGGCTATAGCTTTAGAAACCGACCAATGCCGCAAGAACTGGTGGCTCAGTCTACTCATGCTCAATAATTATATTGACTCCGAGAATATTGTAAGTAATAATTTATATGATATACTAGCTATCGCCTCCGACTTCGTCCGCGCAAAAGAAAAAAACACTTAACTACTAGACTCGAATATTTAAAAAAAAATTTAGTGTAAATAATACAGTTATTCCTTTTTCCTATGAATTCACGGAAACGTGACAAACAATCTTACATTCCCATCCTTTTGATATTATGAATGCGAATATTTAGATGGATGAGTGGATGCTAGTTACAAAGCATCTTCAGAACGGCTGTATGGATCTGATCTGGCACAGATGTAGAACATAGTCTATAGAAACACATAAGCTATTTATTAAGTTTTTTTTTAATCCGCTCAGACGGAGTCGCGGGCAACAGCTAGTTTACTATATTATGTGAATAGCAAATGATTCATTCGCATGTAACTTTATAATGCGTTCAATTATATTCAATTATATATGTATTATATACTTACTATTGACAGTTCAAGATAAATAGAAATGTAATTAACTCTTTTTATTTTCCAAAGAACTCTTATGTAAAAGATAAATAGTTTGTTTTGTATTAAACACATTAAAACTAGTAATCAGTAAGAAATTGTAACTAACTAGTTGTCACCGGCGACTCCGACCGCGTTGATAAGAAAATAACTTAAGTGCCTATGTGTTCTTTCAGACTATGTTCTACATCATCATCATCATCATCATCATCATCATCATCATCAACCTGGCCTTATCCCTATTGAGGATCGACACAATATGTACTACTCCTACATACATCTATATCACCCGTTATATCCGAATCTACCCCTTTCCTACGCATATCCTCTTTCACACAGTCATTCCATACTTTTATTGGTTTTTCTCTACCTTTGTAGCCATACACATTGAATCTCTTTACTTTTTTGCTTATATTATTATCATCGGAGGGATGGATAAGGGACTATGTTCTACATCTATGCCAAATTTCAGCGAGATCCATGCAGCCGTTCTGGAGATAACTTCAAACAAACATCCATCTAAACATTCGCATTTATAATATTAGTTTATTATATGAGTATGATAGGATGAAGTATGTTAGATGCTGAATACTATTAAAAATTTAAATACGCAATCAATCTTGTGAATTCTTTTAATCTTTTTTTATTTTTTATTCATAAAAGCTTGCTGTTGCATATCTTTTGACATTTGATAGCAAATTGTTTAAAGTAATTAATAGCTAAAGTTATATCATTTTTATGTAATCATTTATATTATTTTTGGAAAACCAGAGATAATTCTTTCCATATTCAAAATTACAGTTTCATTCGTGGTCATTTCTTTTATGTTAGTTACCATAGAAAAGCCCAAAATACCAAAGAGGTACTACTACACCTTTTCAGAGGTAAAAATTGTTAACTATTTAAAGAAAGTTTAGACACGATCTTGAATATTACAATTAAATCTATCGTTGTATATTCTAGGTCCTAGAAAAATCACATCTAGAACTAGAACCTATGTTCCGTCAAATAGTCCTCTTCCTCAAAAATGTTCCGTTGCCAAAAAAGTTTGAGTACCGCTGCCAAATAAGTCTTGGTGCATTCGCTTCGAAGCGATTCCATAAAGAACTTCAAAAATGTATGGAACTGGTGCGTGACAATCACGTGACTTATCAAAAGTTTTTGTCAGTTCCGTATATTTATGAAGTTTGTTATATTACTTTATGTTCGAAAGCTACACTTATCGTGGTGTCCTAATTTATATGAAGTCGTTTTCTTCTTTTTTTTTCACAAATAGCCAGCCATCACATTAACTTTAGTGTTTTCTTAATTGTTTCAGTGTATTGTTGTGTCATGGTACATACCATGCGACTTTCATTTCTTCGTGGTTACATTACTACTGTACTGGTTGTACAGAACTCAACCGAAGATGGGTGTTGTTTCTGCTGTTGTCGTTTCTATTGGCGCTCTCGTCTCACCTGCTTTAGTCAACTATTACAACAATCTACCACCCATACAACTGTTCACGTACGAGTAAGTAATAACTTCCGATATTTTTTTCTTAAACTTTAACTAGCGAACTAGTTGGGACTCCATTCGGGCGGAATATTTTTTTTTTATAATCTATATGTTCTTCCAGACTATGTTGTAGAACATTGTCTGGAAAAACACATAGACAACACTGTGCCAAATTTCATCGAAAACCATTCTTCTAAATATTCCAATTTATAATATTAGGTAGATTAATGAGGTATTTCTATGTTATACTAGATGTCGCCTGCCACTCCATCCGCGCGGTATTAAAAAGAACTTAATAGCCTATGTGTTCTTCCAGACTATGTTCTACATATATGCCAAATTTCATCGAGATCCGTTTAGCTGTTCTGGAGATACTTTCTAACAAACGTCCATCCAATTTATAATATTAGTAATATTAATATGGTATTAATTAGACCTATAAGTGTATTTATATTACAAACTACATTAAGTATTAAAGTTATGCTATAATTTGTGATGCAATATTGCATAAAGTTATATTTTCGCTGTTTAGTCGTTTAATTGTTAATTAACTAGATTTTAGCATTAACCAGTCTAGGTGTGGCGGATATTTATAAAAATTGTCACATGAGTAAAGCAAGAAAGTCATGTCCATTGTTTTAGACATTATTAGTTAGAATCATTTGACGCGAATGGCGCTCTTTCGTAACAAAGTGACATTTTAATAAGGCAAGTGTTGCACACACTGGCACAGTGTCGGATTTTCTTCCTAACAATTGTTATCGATAGAGAAAACAGCATCAATTGTGTTACATCCAAAGCGCAATATTTCCGTTGAATAATTGTTACAACTTCATAGACACGAATAGTAATCATATAATTGATATAATTAAAAATGAAAAACAACTAATAACACGAACAAAGATGACTATCTTCACAATCATTTGCAGACATCATGCAAATTGTGGTTCCCTACGTCATAAATAATATTTATTTGTTAATTTTTTAGACAATGTTGTTAATGGATTTTTTTATGTAACTCTATGATACGATAAATTATGATGTCATATTAAATATGAAAATAAAACATACTAATTTATTTAAGTTTCTAGATGTTTTACAAAATTCAAAAATTTTAAAGTTTGAAATAATATTAATTGCGTCCCGGAGGCCTTATTTTGTCCACATTTCCTTCCCGCCCTTTTTCTTATAAGGAAAGGATGGGAAGTGGAAGTCGACTTTCCGTATGAGAGGATGCATGGAAAGAGAAAATATTTTCTTTCTGTGCATCCTCTCCTCCGTCGATTAAAGGTAGGCAACGCATATGCAATTGCATATGTCTATGGACAACGGTCACTTCGCTATTTCAGCGATATCAGGTGGCCGCTCGCTCGTTTACCACCTTATGATATATAAAGATAAAAAATTACCATTTTGCAACCGCATTGATCTTATGTAATTACTAGTTGTCGCCTACGACTCCGTCTGCGCGGGATTAAAAAATAGATAGCAGCCGCTTATCAGACCTACTGAATACGCACATAAAACTATAAAAAATATCGGTGAAGCCGATTCGTTGGAGTATGGTAATTAACATTGAGATACGAGAATTTTATATTAAAGATAAAATCTTTTATTTTTACTTATTAAGTGGCAAACGAGCTAGTGACCACGTAAATTTGCCGAAATAGCGAAGCGACCGCTGGCTATAAGTATTGTTGCCGACAGATACGGAAAATTTTACACGTTTTTAATCATACTTTTTATAGATATCCTCAATTATCGATGCATTACCTACTCTTATTCTCAAAGGAAAGGACGCGAAGGATGGGAAATGTTCCCCTCCTCACATCCTTCGCTTAGACATGATGAAATAAAATTACACCAATCATCTTTGACAGTTTCCTATCGAGCCCCAGAAGTCAGCGGCAGTTCCAATTGACGTACATCAAGAGCCACACGCGCTATGCTGCCTACCTTGTCGGCTTCTTCAGCGGATTATACTTTGCTCACTGCAAAGCCATCGGCAACATTAAAAGAATATCCCGCGTAAGTTACGAATTAAACCATTTTATTGATCTCGCGACTAATTAAGCAATTGTTATTTCTACAAGTAAACATCCGCGACTTCGTAAAAAAACTTAACTAGTGTACCTAATTGTTCTTCCAGATTTTTAGTTCTATCTATGCCAAATTTCAAAGAAAACCCTTTAGCCGTTCTGGAGAAACCTTGTGACAAACATCTACCCATACCTCCATCCATTTAAACTTTGTCTATTTTCAGAAATACTCCGTATTGGGCGCTTGCATATCTTTAGTGGTAATGTTTGGTTTAATGTTATACGGAGCGACATATGTATGGCGTAGCTACGAGTTAGTGGCCGGCACTGTGTACGCTACACTTGAGCGTCCTCTGTTCGCCAGTAGTATTGCACTGCTGGTCTTATGCTGCTCTATGGGACACGTACGTAAGTAATACCTTTCTCTACATAACTGGGTTATAAATTGTTTGCCTCAATCCAAACATTCACTTGTTTATTGTTCTCTTACTCAATCTATTCTAAGGAGTTCGATTAGTGATCACTTAACAATGAGTGCGGTAATTATTCATAAAGTTTGAATGACGTAAAGCGTTTTCGGACTTTCGTAGGGTTCAGAGGAATTTTTAGCCACAAATAAGCCAAAGAAGGCAAAGAGGGGCACCTGTACATCGCCCAGACGTATTCTAGATCATCGACTGGCCAATAACAAACATACGTATAAGACATTAGTGATGTTTTTAATTAAATTATTTGTAGTTAGCTTTCACATTGCTTTATCTTATATATTACCAGGAATAATTATACATGATGTAACTGTGTATTTCAGCTCTAATAAAGGGCTTCTTGAGCTGGTACCCGTGGGCACCGCTGAGCCGGCTGAGCTACGGTCTTTACCTCACGCACTCCTCGATCATTGCCCGCAACGTGTTTAGCGCCAGAGGGTCACAGCGCGCTGACACTTTCTTATTCGTGAGTATTGTTAGGAAGAAAATCCGACACTGTGCAGGTGTATCGGCGCAACACTAGCTGTAAATATCAACTTTTATGTCCCCTCACTAATCATTCTGACACTTGACTTGGTTTCAAAAGCGCGCTATTCCCGCTAAAGGATTTTAATTAATAATGTCTGAATGTATTGCGTTCCCTGGGACGTCAATAGACTAAAATCTTGCGATCTTGAATTTAAATACGCTAAACTTAGCATAAGTTAAATTGGAAATATATTTACGAAGTTGTAAAAACGCGTCAAACATAGCCAAGCTTTCAAAAACTAATATAGATTACACTAATCGTTGATTTCTGAGATCAAATATCTATATGAAACATATCGTCATCTTTGACAAAACAGAGACAACCAGTTCAACACGGGGATTTTGGTTTTGGAAACCCAAGATTAGTGTCATGATTGTAATAATAAGACGAATTAATATGCGATACAAACACATATTATTTTTTCCAGCTAATACAGACGGGTGGTGTTATTATAATGGGAAGCATTGCTGCGTTATACATTCTTCTTATATTTGAACTACCAATCAACAATTTACTTAATTTGTGCTTCATAAAACGGTAAGTATGAATCCTAAACATAAGTTAAAAATGTCACATTGTATTTATTAAGATATTTAGCTATTCCATAGGTTGATTTAAATTTCAAACTGAAGATGACTAAATGATTTCAGCGACATGTCTTGTGTTGACGACTGCCGGCGATAGATGGCGTTTAGCCACTTTTACGAAATATTTTCTGTATTAATCTTAAATTTAACTTTTGTTCAGCTTGAAAAGCATAATCGAATTTAGATATCATAGGAGAACATTAAAACAAAATATCCTAAAAAATGGCATTAGAATGAAAAAGCAATATTTTATTTTCACATTTGGAATAGCGCCATCTATGAGATAATTGAAAAACTTAATTGAATTACTTGAATTTTTAGGAAGAAAACAAGTGAGAACAATCATACCATTCGTGACGTAGAATCAGAAAAAGGAAATGACAACAGAGGCTTCATACGAGAACATCGACGAAGTCTCCCGTCTCCAGCCAGTGTTATTTCTAAATTTTAATTTATTCATATTTTTAAATTATGTAACATGTGTAAATTATGTTTAAACATAAGCAATACCATAAGAGTGTTTTTTTTGTAATAATTTTGAATAATACATATTTGTTTACATTCTATGTGTGTACGTTAATTACTTTAAAATGGGCCGTTTCCTTTAATTCATCGGATTCATGCTTTTTTATAATGAAAATATTTTTCTATTTGTATCATAATATTGTCATTCCCATATAATGTAAAGTTTTTGTTTTTCAGAATTGGAAGCATTACGCTTTACTTGGACTGCAAAGCGCCATCTTGTGACGAATAGTTATTCTAAGTCCATTGTCTCTTTTACATTGAGTTTTAATTTAACATTAGTAGATGTCGCTTTAATAAATCACACAATTTTCTAGACATTCGGAATGAAGAAACCAAAAGGTTTTCTTACTTTTTTGTACGAATTTAATTGTCAAAATAAATCTGCAAAAATGTTTAATTCAGTAAAGAGTTTAATTTATTTTGATAACTACCTTAATTTTTAAAAATCTTGTTGGACTGAACTTTTTTGTAGTAGTTTTCAAATACGTTAATAATAGAACTCTATTGCCTGTTGACTTTATTTATCTCTGTATAAAAACTGCGAAAGGAAATATAATTAATACATATTCATTATAGGACTCATGGGCGTCGCCATCCGATGATCTAGGCTTGGTCTAGAGGGGAGGGAGTCCCCCCTCAATATCCCCTTTCCCACTCTATCGACGGCCATGATAGGATCTATATACGAGCTGCTTCTAAGTTTACTAGTTTTTAATCTTTGTCAGAATTTTGTTCATTTAAAAAGTGGTTTTTCAATGAAACGTTTTCATTTTCATCTACTTTCTTGGTAGTCAAGGCAAAAGTAAGCTACATAGGTAGGTATAAGTTACTAATTAAATTGAATTAAGGATACTTTGCTATTCAGTATTCACTAACGTGTAGATGTTGTCCTACCTATTATGGTAGTAGCGTTTACCATTTAAAAATTTAGAGAACTGAAAAGCAAACATATTTGATATCTGGATCTATGTCCAGCGGAGCGCGTCTCTGTTTGGCAATACAACAGCAGCAAACATAATGACATAATTGGCGAGACGCGGGGGCCGAGGAGGGAGAGGCAGGGGACGCGGGGCGCGGCGCGGGACGCATGCGCTGGTTTGACGGCCAAGGTCGAGGCCGCGCGACTCTGCCGCGCGCCGCCGCTTCGGCTGGTCTCTTGCGCGCCCTCTTTCTGGAAACACCTTCTCTATAGGGATAAATGCGCAATACGGGCCGGGAGTGAAAGCAAACCGGTGCGAGGACAAGCCATTTGTAAGGTAATTATAAATTTATTGTTTTATTAGTCATAGAATCCAAATATATTGCTTGGTTACATTCATGTGATCCGGAAACCATATTGTATGATGCTCATAGATGTCGATTCCAATTCACAAATAAAATTGCATTATACATGTTGGTCGGTATAGCAATGTAAACAACGGACGTTAGCGTGGGCAGATGTGCTGTAATTTATTCGCAGTAAACCAATGCGAATAGTTGTTGTTCGTGTAACACCTATAGTATAATTGGCCACATCACCTTGCGCTCTAACATGCCTCTCACGTCATCGCGTTCACCATTGATCGCTAAAACAAATAATCCTTTGATTTCTTTTTAACTTGTATTGTTCCTTATTCATATCGTAATGAATAAATTCAAAACTATACTTTATGCATAACAAATTAGGTACAAAATCATACGATTTCATAGTTAATAGTCGTAATTTTTAAGTTATTTTTTTGGATATCTTATTTTAGTGTACAAGAAGACCTCGTTTGTAATTCTGTCAGTGTAACAATAATTTTCATTTAACATATAAACTAACAATACATTAACAGCAATGTTTTCGCATTTTACGGTTTACATAGGTACCATTGGATTTATAAAAACTTGAAGTGTATTTAAATGAATCTATTCATGACTTCAAGGACACATGTGTTTTTCATTTTTATTGTAGGCAGTACGTTAAGATAATCATTTAAGATTAGGGTTGCCATCTCAGGTTTACACGGTGTAGAGTGAGTACTGTAAAACGAGTAACTTTTTCGACATTGGCTAAATAATTAACATTGCTGTTTTACACCACATTTGTTTTTAGGATATATTTATTGAAAGCTGCCAGCCCTAGTTAAGATGGTAGCGTTATGTAACCAAACAAAAAATTTATGAACGAGAGCATATCCTTTGATTTGTGTTTCGGTTGCCTCATACGTTTTTAAAGTCTACATCTCAAAGTCTCATGTCTTCGATGTAATTCGTAATAGATTAACTATATAGTTTTAGGTAAGCTGAGTGACTTTTTACACTCTCTTAGTTTTTGAAGAAAAGTATTTACCTCTTTTGGTCGCATAGTTCGCTTAAAGGTTGACGCGCATTACTAAACTCCTCGTCCACTCGGCACCGCCCAGCCTTGCGATCGTCGCGGCGCACACTTGTCAATATTTCGATATTCATGGACATTTTCGTTTGATATTTTCTTTTTTGCTTGAATGTTCTTTGTATGAGTAAATAAATTTTCTAAAGAAAAAGTATTGAATATCGATGCGTACGGCGCTCAACTATCACACGATTGTCCCTTACTTCCTCGTAGATGATATTTCTACGTTTTATTTGGAAATCTTTACATGCTGCATATCACGGGCACTCGTGCCATCATTACGTTAAGCTCATGAAAATGAGTTTTCGCGTATTTTAACTTTTTATAAGCGCCACCGTTTCTGAGATATAACGTTTTGAACAGTATATCAGTCTTTTAGATGTACATAAATTATTGAAAAATAAATAAATTTTTTACACACAATGAAATTATTTTAAGATAAATTTGACACAACGTAAAAATCAAGATTTTTTTGAAAGGGCGATTGTAGATTAAATAAATTATTGCGTAGTACCCATTCTACATACGCAGTACTATTAATTTGGTTCACTACGTCTTCGTGAAGACTTGTTGAAGGGAAGTACTCGTCAGTAATTCGAGTACTTTTTAAGGGCCCGCATGTCCTTATTTTAAGCTTTTTTATTTTCGTAGCGGTAGAAATAACATATGTGAACCACGGTAGTATTATACGTTTATACACGATAACCGGATACTGGATAATTTAATTATTTATTTAATCATTTGCTCGTATCCTTTTCAATTAGTGCATTTGATATCAAGAAATGTCCGTAATTTATAAAAACTTCTCGACTGTGCTAAGGATAGCTTAAGCATTTTCATTCATAACGAAACAGAAAATACATCTAACAATAGTGTATAATAATAGTACAGCGGGTCTAATACGAATATTTGTGATCGCCTTTGTATCACTATGTCAAAATTAGTATGAGATTTTTGGTGTACTTTACGCCCAATACGCTGCACAAATTTCGTCGATGACGATACCATGGCGATTGCCACAATTATTCGTGCTAGGCTCACAGTAATTTCGAAACGCTGTGATATATTTAGCATCACGACGGTATATACGATTCAAATCCAATAGAAGCCCTTTAAGTTTAAGTATTGCCTAAGTTCTAATTTAAACTTTATGAGTTTACAATGCTTTGTAATTTTGTACGAAAACTTTGTCTACGTAAGTTAGGAATTCGTACCTGTTACCCAATTAATCAGTTTTTATTTTTAGTTAATTGCTTTTTATACCATACAGCTAAAGTTGATCGTGTTTTATATTAGTTTTTGAAACCGATGTTTTTCAATTTATAACTTCTATAAATATCTTAGTCAAAATTTCTCGTATTAAAAATAATCATATTGTTTTTTTAAATATTAGCAGATTTTTTTGTAAATTTACTAATATTTTACCATTCCAACTAAGCTCTAGGCTTGTGCTGGGATATGGTTTACGACAATAGTCGAATGGCGGGTTTCGAACCCCCGACCTCGTGGTCGGAAATCCGTACCCTTAACCATTAGGCTATTGACGCTTCAAAAATAACATACTACCTTATTAAGTATTCATTTTATTTATAGTAAATATTTAATGATCTCACAAATAACATTATTATTGTCATAAACCGCCTATTCGTAATGGCGGATTCCGGGAACGCTCCTATTTGGAATTACGTATTTTCAGATCAAAATGTATTCTATTATCGGGATCTTTATGGAAGCGATGTACGCAAGCGTTCCTACCCCCTCTATGTAGGTCAGGGGAAGCTGCGTGGGGTGTGGGGTACAGGGGGATGAACGTAGGCGTCCTATCTCCGTTCACCCCCTCTATCGACCGAACCCGGTCTAACGCCCACAAACAAAAAAAAACACATTGGTTTCAAATGTTAAGTGGTCCGATATTAGTTGTTTATGCTATTTATTACCTAACTCCCGGAGACATTTTTCCTGTCATTTGCCAAACTTTATAATATTTTTTTACTGGAAACATAAATATTAGTTTTAATCCTACGCCTTTAAATTGTTTGACTCCATACAAAATTATAGTTTATCAATTATTTATCCCTTTGTTCTTTATCCGTTGAAATGTATCATTTTTTTCACAAACTGGTACGATATGATTATTTATAATATGTAAATCGAATAGTTAAACATATTTTCACTACACAGCTGAAATACACGTATACAGAAAAAATATAAAATGGATGACAATATTTTTTTTCATTGAGGGCCTGTTGCGCATAGAGTATGTAATTTCTGAACATACTTGGAAGTTATTTGCGAAATTAAGTGGTCGTTGGGATTTCACAAACTTGCGAATGTTTGGATAGATGGATGGATGTTTGTTTGGAGGTATCTCCGGAACGGCTGCATGGTTCTCGCTGAAATTTGGCATAGATGTGGAATATAGTCTGGAAGAACGCATAGTCTACTACGTTTGATTTTTAATTTCGCGCGGACGGAGTCGCGGGCGACAGTCTACAAAGCTGTGAAATGTCAACTATTTTGACAGGATGTATTATTTATTTGTCAGATTAATTTGTTAATAATTAATTTGTTAATAATTAATTTGTTAGTTATCGCGCACTTAGCTTGGACATTGTGAAACAAGGGCCTAAATAAAGCTTGTAGATAAAAGCTCAAAACTATCCAACTGCGATTCGCAGAATTATAATTATATCTAGGTTGTTAACCCGATGAGGAATCTCATGTTCGATACTAGTACTAAATGCGACCTCTTTTTGCTGTCTATTGCCGCCATGTTTGTTAGCGGAATAAAAAAAAACGTTGCTCCTACCAGCCAGTATCTATATTTAAAGTTATCTATGCCATATGTTTTTTATTTTGCTGACCGTACCCGACATGTATTGCCAGATTAAGTCACATTTTATTAGGAAGTTAATTTGCTTATTTATTTTAATGATTGGTATTATACCCATAGATTTTATTTTTATTTTACATTCACTAAATAAGATATTAAAAAAAAATTAGACATCGCTAGAAACACGACATAAAATTAAAATGTTGTAGAAATAATAAAAAATGTTAAATATATAATTTAAAACAGAATAATAGTTAAAATAATTAACGTAAAAACCCTAAATTCTCCCTATAATTGAAACAGATTTAAGTAGATAGTTTTTATAGCAGTTTTAATTTTTTTCATATCATGTGACTGGCACTTTTTTGTCTCGTGAACGAAGAACCAGTTATGACGTCACAGTATGGTATTTGTTGACTGAGATCTTTTTAGTGTATAATCGGGACTCGCCCCGTCTTCGCACATATTCAGACAATTTAGGTAATATAGTATTTTAATTCTAATATAACAATTTAATTGGCCAAGTGCCCAATGGAATGCAAATCAAACGACAGGCGCAAACCTTTACTCTTTATGAGGTCCTGGTAGGATTGGTTTTATGATTGACTAGCTGTTGGCCGCGACTCCGTCCGCGCGGTATTAAAAAAAACTGAGTAATTTTATGGGTTCTTCCGGACTATATTCTACATCTCTGCCAAGTTTCATCAAGTTCCGTTGAGCTGTACCGGAAATACCAAACAAACATCCATCCATCTAAACGTTCGCATTTATAATATTAGAAAGATTTGTTTAAGCCACACCCTGTATATGTACGTATATAAACAATCCAATCGTATGTTATAAAAATATTATAACCGTCGACATTTAGTACTCAGTGTGTGTTTACATATATAAGCCAGCTGAGCTCGTCAGGGCGCGCGCCTATCGATTCCCGCAAGGACAAGGGCGCCCACGCTCGCTCACACTCTGCGCTCGCCCGCCCTGCCTGCCTTCCCTCTACCCCCGCCGCCGCCCACTGCCACCCTGCCATCTCCGCCGCCCAAACTCTCCAGATATCGTATTGTAAT